ATTATATTATTAAACCAAATAAAATTACTTCGTTATTGTACATAAATTAAATTATAAAAAAATAAATTAAAAAATTACACAAAAAATGGAGAATTTCAAATAGTTAATTTGATACTAAAATCGATATATTTTTGTTAAATTTTTATGATATCTTCAAACATATATTTTATTCAAAAATAAAAACATCATCGCTTTCTCAAAATCATATAAAACCATATTATAACATCGACTGAGATAAAGAACAAAATGAAATATTAAAATCACGATGTATCTCGCTGCATTCTACAAGTACGCTTCTAGTATTATATTATGCTCAATGTTATCGTTATTGGAAAATAAGTTTCAAATCTAAGCAGTGTCATCAGGTGATTTGGACTCATAAATAGATAAATTAGTTTTTTTTTTTTAGATTTTTAAGAGTTTTGTCTAAATGATCTGAAGCTAATTTATTCAAATAGTATTTGAAATACCGTTTCAATAAGCTAACTTATTGAACGGTAGTTGAAGTATCATTTCAATAAACTATTAAAGTTTTCTTATTTCTACCATTTTTTGCAATTATATCATTGATTACTATTCATTAGTATTAATAATTAAATAATTTTTAATTTTTAATTATCAATTATTATTTATATTTAAATAATTATTAGTTATTGATTAAAATTCTGTTTTTTATAGATATTTACAAAATGAATTTTTGAACACATTTTAAACATTATCACAAATAAATCTTATTAAATCTCGTTAAATACAATTACCTCCATGAGATTTTTAAATCAAATGTTTGTGAAATTCAGATTTTTCTTTAAACCAAACGCATGATCGAAATTGAATCTAAATCCAAATCCAAATCTTGCAAACCAAACGGACCATTAGTATCAACATCCAAACCTAATTGTAGTGGTATTCTGTAATATAGCTTTTATTAGCTATGGAAATTGATTTGAATGGTTTTATCTGAAGTCCATCCGAAAGGAATATCTTTTTAGGGTATCATATTATTCAAACAGATCAAATGAGGTTATGATGTTGATCTCTCCAAGAAGGTTGAGTTTACGGTTGTCATGAAGCACCCTCTGAGAACACAAATCACTTCTAGGGCTGATAAAAAACGCATTTGAGAGTCAAATATATACATACATTATACGTATCTATAACTCTAAACACTAAACACTAAAGATAAGAAAGCTGTTAAACCTTTGGTTGGTAATAAGTTATTATTTTACTGAAAAATTCTCTTTGATCAGTAATAAGTTAGTTTTTTTAAAAACAAGCCATAAGGGTTTTAGTTTCACTTTTTTTTTTCCAATTATGTATCTTATATTTTCTAAATATTTTTCAAACACGTCATTTTAAATTATCATCTAACTTATCAACTAATTTTCCCCCTAAAATAAATGTCCACAATATGAAAAGACACAATTTTAAACTGTGTAATTATTATAATTTATCATTAATTCCATGACAATTTTACCCTTGATTAAAGTAATCATCATCTCAATCTCTTAATTCACTACTAGAAAACTGACTATTTTAGGAGGAAAATTCCAGTGGATAACTGCTAGGGACAAGGAATTCAAGCAAATGTTCGTTCTTCAATATCTCGGCTGCTCAAGACATTGGACTAGCTGCTCTTCCGATCGGAGTGGATTCTAATGGAAGGGCAGAGCAAAGCCTTGCAGTACGAAGGTGTTCGTTACAAGGACGGGTTCAAACTGGACTGAAGGGAGGAGGAATTCAATAATCCTCTCTTCCTAGGGATTCATCACTGGCTCGGGCTTTCGGATCCTAATAATTTTAAAAATTAAATTAAATTTTCGGCGGATTTCTAGTGGACACTTCCGTCATTTAATTCAAGTCTTATAAAATTTTTATCTATAGTTTCTTAATATAATTAAATTTTTTTAAAATAAACTCAAAAAAAAAAAGTTGGCTAATTTTCGGCGGCCATTTTTCATCGAAAAACCTAAAATCTATCAGTAAATTCGTCGAAAAAAGAATCACAAAACTTATGAATGAAGTTTTTTTTATCGGACATAACTAACTAATAATCTCATTTATCGAACATGTACAAAATTCTATATCTATACTATATTATAATGCATTTGGCTAAAACTCTTAAAAACTCTTAAACTCTTAAACTCTTAAAACTCTTAAACCCGTTCATCCC